ACAAGCGACATGAAAAATAGGCGTCAAGAAGTTCTTGTTGTTCGTGACGATCTATTTTCATTCGATTTCCTCAGCCAATACCGAAAGCGTTATTCTGTTGTAACTCATATCCTTTTTTTATTCATTGTTGAACGTCATTCCTGCATTCTTCCCTGGATTGTTTTTAAAATACAAAACGTTTCGTGACACCCTGATTTATTTTATGTATTGACGTATTTTAATACGCAACAAGAACGCTCATAGAAATCCATCAAAACATCGCATTTGGATTTTTAGTTAATTCCGATGGCGATGACAAAATGGCACTCGCATAAAGACTTATTTTGCACGTTAACATCGTTTAATTATGATACATATTTCAAAGCTTTTCATGATTAAGTAACAAACCTACGTGTCAGGATATTCACATTGATAAATTTCATCAAAATATCGCATTTGTGTTTTTAATACCGATGACGCTCACAAATTGGCTCTCAGATAAAAACTTAATCTCTGCGTTGACATATTTCTAATCACTATTTCTAATCACGGAACATATTTCGTGATTTTCTTCTGCATCTCTTAATTGAATTTGAGGCTAACAATAATGACAAATCTACGCATCAGGGAAACCAAACTCATAAAAATTCATCAACTATCGTCTTTAGTTCATTCAGATAACGCTCATGAAATATGGCACTCACATAAAAACTTATTTTACCTGTTGAAGTCTTTTAATCACGATGCGTACTTCAAAACTTTTTATGATTTTCTTCTGGATCTCTTAATTGAATTTGAGGCTAACAATAATAACAAATCTACGCATCAAGGAAACCAAACTCATAGAAATTCATCAACTTTCGCCTTTAGTTGATTCAAATAACGCTCATGAAATATGGCACCCGCATAGAAACTTATTTTACCTGTTGACATCTTTTAATCACGATACGTACTTCAAAACTTTTCATAATTTCGGCTGCTTCTCTTAATCGAATCTAACGCTAAGTAAAAGTAATAAACATATGCATCAGGATGCCCACATGGATAAAAATTCATCAAAATATCGCATTCAAGGTTTATATTTAATTCCGATAACGCTCTCAAGTTATTACTCAGATGAAAACTTATTCTACACATGGACGTTTTTTAATCACGATTCATGTTTCAAAACTTTTCGTGATTTCTGTCTGCATCGAAATTGACGCGGAGTAACAGCATTAGGATACAAAAATTGAAAACAAAATGTATCAAAATTTCGGATTTGGCTGTTTAATGGATTTAGATTATACTAATAAAATGATAAATCAACATACTAATTAAGAATTATTCTACACCTTGATGCCATTTTATTACTATCCATATTTAAAAGCTAACTTTTCGTGATTTTCGGATGCATCTCAATCAAATTTACCACTAAGTGATAAATCCACTCATCAAGATTCCCAAATTCATAAAAATTTATCAAAATATAGAACTTTCCGATTATTGATGTATTCCGCTGACACTCTTAAGCTAATATTCTGATCAAGACTACTTCTATTTTTTGATGTCTTTATCGCGAAAGACATTTAAAAACTTTTCGTGATTCATATATCTATCGAGTTTAGCGCTAAGTAACAAACATAAGCACCAAGGCACCCCAATTAATAAGTAAAAATTATCAAAATATCGAATTTCGTTTTTTGCCTTCCGTTGACACTCATAGCTCGACATTCTGATCAAGACTTCTATTTATTGACGTCTTCATCGCGATAGATATTTTAAAAATTTGTCGTGATTTCGAACGTCGTATATCATTCAAATTTAACGCTATGAAACAAACCTAAGCACCAAGACTGCCCTATTGATAAGAAAAAATTATCAAAATATCGAATTTCGTTTTTAAGTTGATTCCGTTGACACTCATAACTTGACATTCTGATTAGATTTCTATTTGTTGACGTCTTTATCGCGATAGATATTTTGCAAATTTGCCGTGATTTCAAACGTCATATATCATTCAAATTTAATGCTAAGAAACAAACCGAATCACCAAGACTCCCCAAATGCTAAGAAAAAATTGTCAAAATATCGAATTTCGTTTTTAAGTTGATTCCGTTGACACTCATAACTTGACATTCTGATCAAGACTTCTATATGTTGACGTCTTTATCGTGATAGATATTTTAAAAAAAAATTGTGATTTCGAACGTCAGATATCATTCAAACTTAACGCTAAGAAACAAACCTAAGCACCAAGACTCCCCAATTTATAAGAAAAAACTATCAAAATATCGAATTTCGTTTTTAAGTTGATTCCGTTGACACTCATAACTTGACATTCTGATTAGATTTCTATTTGTTGACGTCTTTATCGCGATAGATATTTTGCAAATTTGCCGTGATTTCAAACGTCATATATCATTCAAATTTAATGCTAAGAAACAAACCGAATCACCAAGACTCCCCAAATGCTAAGAAAAATTGTCAAAATATCGAATTTCGTTTTTAAGTTGATTCCGTTGACACTCATAACTTGACATTCTGATCAAGATAATTTTTCTATTTGTCGGTATCTTTATCACGATTCACATTCAATAACTTTTCATGATTTTAGGATTCATATCTCAATCGAATATAATGCAAATAAAATCTTACGCATGAATGGATACCTAAATTGATACGAATTAATGTGAATAAATGTTTCCGGAAAGTGAATTAATGTGAATAAATAGTTGTGGTTACTGCCGGGCATAATCATTAACCCAAATCAAACCTTACGCATAAATGGATACCTAAATTGATACGAATTAATGTGAATAAATGCTTGTGGTTACTGCCGGGAATATTCATTAAGTTTACATCTCAATCGAATGAAACGCAAATCAAACCTTATGCATGAATGGATACCTGAATTGATACGAATTAATGTGAATAAATGCTTGTGGTTACTGCCGGGAATATTCATTAAGTTTACATCTCAATCGAATGAAACGCAAATCAAACCTTATGCATGATTGGATACCTAAATTAATACGAATTAATGTGAATAAGTGTTTCCGGGAAGTGAATTAATGTGAATAAATACTTGTGGTTACTGCCGGGAATAATCATTAAGTTTATATTTCAATCGAATTTAACACAAATCAAATCTTACGCATAAATGTATACCTAAATTGCTACGAATTAATGTGAATAAATGTTCAATGGAAGTGAATTAATGTGAATAAATACTTGTGGTTACTGTCAAAAGTTTATTTTTCTTTTAATTAAATATGATTAAAAGAAAAATCCGTCTGCAATCCTCTGCCATTCAAATAAAAATGGTGGAAAAGGTATTTTATTCAATTCCAAAACATCTGAAAATTATAATTTCATTTTTCCCTATGTAAAGTGCGTCATTCCATGTATTTGGAATTCGTGTTTGATCATAAAATATTTTTCGCCAAATAAAGCGGTACTTTAATGGTACTTTAATCGGTCTGTCATTGTTTCCATCACCTGCCGTGATGGCAAACACGTAATTAAAGACGTGTACACGATTGTCTTTCACTTCTCCAGTTTATGCAAACACATTATGTGCGTCGCTTTCTCTGCCAAAGAATTAAGGCTAATAAAACAAAGGTTATAAAAATAACGAATAACATGTTTAAGGAAATCAAAGGAATACGTTTCATTCAAATGTAGCATTACAGCTGAACTTGTTTATGACGAGAATATATTAACCCAAACAATCTGTTCGTTAAATCGGGGTGTTCATTATATCCGGTTGGCCGAAAATGAATGGATAAATGAAATATGTAATTTACAAAAATGAATTTTATTTAGACTTTTATTCAGAGTGTATAAAATATTTTTTTAACGTACAGCAAGAAAATTAAAGATACCACCTAAATAACTAGGTCCCTTATTATTGTAACTTTACGTACTAAGTATAAATGACGTAGTACAAAATTGATCGAATGGTTATTATTCCCTTGGCGCAGATGGAACACCGGTGTCTCTTATATATATTTTTTTTCTGGCACTCTAATTAGAAGCAAAAATATATTTTAGTATTTTTTTTTTTATTGCGAAAAACAGTATAGTAGTTACTTAAAAAGAATCTGTTAAATTATCGGAATTAAGTTTGGACTAAAATATGAAATCCAAAAAGAAAAAATTAGTTTGAAAAAAAATTTTTTTTTTTTCTTTCATATTTAAAAATACGTCAATAATTGAGTTTGTAAATTAAAGAAATTTCAACAAATACCTGTTTCTCTGAACTTATTGAAATACTTTCAAATAAGTACAATTTTGATGAATTATTGTTTGGAATTCAGCCGTATTTGGAAAATTTTACCTTTAATGTAAAAAAAACAAAAAAAAACGTTGTTTCGAGCTATATATTCATAATTATATTTGGCTATTGATTGAGCTATGTATTCATAACCATAAATTCATGTATTCATAACCATAATTCGCTTATTTTGATTCAAATTAATACAAAGTAATGCGAAAGCATGAAAAAAAAATCTGTTTAATAAAAATTCCTTATCAAAGGTTTAAGAACTGAAATTTAAAACTACGACTTCAATTGAAATTTCGTAACGTTGTTCAACTGATTTGATTGTTTGTTTTTTTATTTAATCATTAAAAATTACAATTACGTAGTTTAAAAGATGTAAAATATGCTTATCTCATACTATTCAAAATTTTCACGACCATTAATAAATAAATAAAGCAACAGGAACATCTCTGCTGCTGTGACAGATATTGATAAAAGCATGTTCTTGAAATATGAGTGGAACTGATTTATCATTATGATGTTTAACCAAGGGTGAACAAATTGAACATTTCTAATGCGCTAAATCCTTAATGAGCGTATACATCAACCATGGTTGTAGGTCATATACTTGTAAATGATAAACAGTCCATTCACTTTTAGTTGTTATAATATTGATTCTTTAGAATTATCCACTGCAAGACCTTATACACTTAAAGATAAACTTTGTTTTTCGGAAACTGATGATGTCAGAAAGTCTAATACTTTGTCTTTTCAGGTGGATACCTTTTGGAAATGATTCCTCTGTCAGATCTCTTCCTGGGACTTTTCCTATTAGCAGTTTCGTTCTTTCTTCTGGTCTTCTGCCTCGTGCTACTTGTAAAGCTTCTTCATTCCATCATGGGCGGATCATTCGCCATGTTTCTCCGTCGCATCATCAATGCTGAACCACCTTTTCCTTACAATCTTTTCATGGGTTACCTAGTCATGGCTTTGGGTTGTGGAATGACGATATTGGTACAAAGCAGTTCGGTGTTTACTTCAGCTCTTACGCCTTTGGCCGGTGTTGGCATGGTCTCTTTGGAACGCATTTATCCTTTAACACTGGGATCGAACATCGGTACAACGACTACCAGCCTCTTGGCCGCTTTTGCCGCTACACCCTCCACGCTCAGATACACTCTGCAAATAGCGTTCTGCCACTTGTTCTTCAACATTTCAGGCATACTTTTGTTCTATCCCATCCCAGCTACTCGCCTACCCATACGACTCGCCAAAATATTGGGATCAGTAACCGCCAAATACCGCTGGTTTTCCATTTTTTACTTACTGGCTATGTTCTTCATATTGCCCACCGTGGTGTTTCTGCTGAGTTGGGCTGGGCCCATAGTGTTTGCTGCTGTCGGAGGACCTGTCCTTCTTTTCTTTGTGGTGGTCATTGCTATAAACATTATACAACGCAAGCGATCTTCTCTGTTACCTCTAAAATTGAGAGATTGGTCATTCCTTCCAATGTGGGCACATTCTCTAGATCCTCTGGACAGAGCTATTAGTAGACTGTGCTGCTGCTGCAAGAGTTTGCAAGATAGGCGGGACGCTCCTACCCTTGGACTCATTCCAAATACCTCGCAGATCAACATTCTTCAACCGTGTTCTGCTTCCTCCTCCATATTGACTCTAAACTCAGCGTGTGGGCCCGAGTACCACACCATGAACGGTTTCGAACACTGCGCATTCGCCAATTTGCCAGAAAAGAAGAAGAAAACGCATAACAACAATAACACAATCGATCTGGAATGGGACTTTACTACGCAGTTGTGATTCTACTCTAGGCTAGTCCTTAAGTTACTTATTAGTCCTACAATGTGTCGATTGAAGCTGTCAAGTAAAGTGCCTGGGTCTTCGTCGTGATAAAGAATACGGAGAAAAAAAAATTCTAGACAGTTGGACACATTTTAAGCATTCCAACTCCTCATTCCAAAGAAAATCTGAGATTATGGCCGTGTGTGTGTGTGATTGAGTATTTATATGGGCGATTGTTTTTTTATAATGCAAGATAGGTAATTATAAATACAGTGGTGGATCGAAAAAGTTTTTAAGTGTCTTAAATCTCTTAGCTGCAGCCCGGAAAAGTTGCCAACTGAAAGTTGCCACAATGGTCCGAAAATTGAGAAAATTAGACTAAAAACGCTTAAGTTGATAATATCGAGCTTCTTACTTTCCCGACTTCCGGTTAGAAAATTTACAATTGCTTACTACAACTTATAGTGCGAAGCGGTATTTTTAAAACAGATAATTTTACTTTCAATGAAAGAAAATAATATAATTTCGGATCTCAAATCTGCAGCACTTTATAAGATTTCAATTATATTAAGTAATTATGGAGAATTCAAAGGAAAATTTGTCTCAGTCATTTATTGAAAAAGGCGACATGGTTGCTATATTTAGAAGAAACTCGTTTTATTTTTTTGCAAGTCCTGATTTGGCTTCTTTTGACTTGTTTATTTCTATTAGTTCTTCTTGCAAGCAGTGCACTGTGCTTAAGTGAGGGTTAGTTAGAATAACGAGTCAAAGTTTTTATTCCGAATTATCATTTAGATTTAAATTTCACACTTAGTATATTGATGGCAAGGTAATAAGTGTTTTATAACTATTTTTGTTCTAATAGTGATTTTAAAATTTTACTACCTCTCAAATCACATGTTAACTATCTCTTTACCATGCATGTTTATTATTATATAGTTGCATATACTGTCTTTTCATTATTTACTATTATCTCAGGGAAGATGTAAGCCAATTGGCTTCAAAATACATACAGTATCCGGAAAATATCGGCGGTAAAGACACTGCAACTCTTCCTAGTACAGAAAACATCAACTACAGATTTTGTTAATCGGTTTGCATATAGTGCTTAAAAGCTACTATTATAAATCAAGAATATATCACAGTGCAAAATTTTAGAATTACAATTTAAATATCTTCTGCCGCCTCATTGGGTCGAAGTTTCAACAGCTAATCTCAACTTTGGTGTCGTTCGAAGAATATATTAAATTATAATTCTAAAATTTTGTAAAGATATTCATGTTAATAAATGATAACGTTTAAGCGCTACCGCATGCGCGTCAACAAAATCTATGATTTTCTGAAATTTTAAGCACTTTTACTCAAATTTTGCCCATTGAAACAGAGGAAGATAATAAGAGTTATAAGATTTCACATATAGTGCGACTTTGTGGAGAACTCTTCCAGACTGAAAATCTGGGGCTATCTGTTGCTATGGTAACAAGTGAGGGCACATTTTTAATGGAGGTGCAATGGAAGAATTAAGGTGTCGATTAGTTTACTCACGCTGACCTATACCAAGATTAAGACAAAGCTATTTACCCCACACCCCAATTGAAGTGACTTTTCCTCGTAACCATAGTACCTGCCACGACTCAAGACTGATGTCTGGAGGAGTTCTCCTGAAAGTCGCACTATACTTTCTTTGTAATGATGGTAGTAGACATTATTCCCGCATTGCCGCTAAAATATTTAAGACATTTTGACCCACCTTAAGAAACTTCTGAAATGCATCAAGTACTTAATGTTATTGTTGGTTTTATTGCTTTTATTACTGTTATTATGTCTATTATTAATAATACAGAGTGGTTTAAGTGTTTCGAATTTTGTTGATAGTAAAACTATAGTACCCAAATCGTTATTATTTTATAATTACATTCCTGAATAACTTGGCCCATAATGGAATCAAGGTTAGAACGCTGACTCAGATGCTTTAGAAAAATCTTAATTCATTAAAAAATTTTAATTCACTTAGAAAAGTGCTCTTTTTTATTATTATTATTTTTGGTTGGTAATTTTTACTTAAAGACTTTTCAACTCTAAAACTTCATATTTCTTCTTTTTCCCAGTTTAATTCTGTTACAGGCATTCAAGTTCTTAAAATCTTTTTTAACCTTTTTTTTTTCTTTTGGAACAATAATTTTGCTATTGTTTAAATATCAGTAACTTTTGAAGTTAAAAACTCTTATATTTGGCATCTCTCAGAAAAAATTATTTCTATTTTTAAAATGAAAATAATGTCGAAATTAACAGCTTGCCTTTGCCTTCTTTAGGAAAAAAATTATTTCTATTCTGTTCAAATATTGATGAGATCGAAATTAAGAACTTTTATTTTCGGTTTCTATAGAAAAATAATACTTCTGCTCTTGTTAAAATGTCAATGACCTCAAAATCAAATGCTCTTATTCGTGGCATCTTTCGAAGAAATTGTATTTTTGTTGATGCTGATAACGACGAAATTAAAAAAAAAAATTCTGCTGTAATTAACATGAGAATGACGTCGAAGTTAAAAGCTCTTATTTTAGACATCTTTCAGAAGAAAAAAAAATTTCTGCTGTTGTTAAAATATCGATAATGTCCAAATTAAAAGCTATTTTTTACATTCCGAAAAAAAATTGTTTTTGCTCTTGTTGAAATGTCGACAACGTCGATATCAGAAGCTTTTAATTTTGGCATCTTTCAGAAAAAAGTATTTCTGCTATTATTTAAAAGTGAATAGCGTCAAAATTAAAAATTCTCATTTTAATTTTCTTCGTTTGAAATCGAACCCTGGAAATAACATTGTATAATAAAAAAATTGTCAACACTTTAAGTGCATAAAATTAAATTTTATTAAATTAGAATTCCATTATTGAAATGAAATACAGCATACATTGAAGAATGTTGTCATCTAATTTGCCACAGTGTTGAGGACCATTCATTATTTAACATGAAATATTACATCCATCAAAATAGTTTAGGTATGCTGTACCCCTTTGTGTAATAATGGTTCATAATCAGATCGATCAAAGTTGTACAAATTTAATATTTTGTCGAAACCTTTACCGGAAATTGCATAAAGTTTCTTTTGAAATAACTAGCATATTATGATGAAAACTCTTGATTTGGCAGATTATAATATATCAATGATCTTCATCGAAATGCAATAAGAAAATGAAATGAATTGTAAATTCCATGAGAGATGTAAATAAACATCAATTTAAACAAAAGTATTTTTGCTTTATTTTTATCTTTATGGACATAAATTTATTAATTGACTATTAAAGGCTTTGTATTTTTGCGCCTTATTTATTTAACTTGCGCTCGATGCGCAAAATGAAATAATGAAGAAAGTGAAAAGTGAGTATAATTTTAAAGCATGCAATTTTAAAAGACAGAAAAGCAAATTTTGGATCAAATTGGTCGAATAGCTTCTGAGTTATCAAATTTTAAAAAGTCATATATTTAAAAATTTTATTTCTCAGGAACTATTCGACCGGTTTCCCGAATTATAATTTTTATATTAATTTTGTATAATTTGTACTATTAAATTATAGCTCAAAAAAATAACTTTAATAGTTTTTTATTACTAGAGGGCAAAGCTCCCTGTTGGCTTCCGCTCTCCAGCTCCGATGTTTGCTTCCCCATAATTGTTTCTAAAATAAAACAGTGTTTTCTACGAAAATTAAGTTAATTATTTAAAATATATATACTATAAAGAATTCTATTTGTTTTCGTTTGAGTATAGCTTCCCGCATTCATTTCTTCAAATTAAATTATAGTTTTGAGTCAAATTCTATTGGCAAATAGTATGAAAGATCTCGTATGAATCTATTTTCTTAATGATTCTATTAAGATCTACTAGCGAACATTAAATTTTGCTTAGTAATCATTTTTTTTAAAAATAATAAAATTTAAAATTGAAGGATCGATCGTTCTCTGATTCAGGTCAAAATTACGATCTGTGAATGAATTAATGGGTCCGCCTTATAAACAGGCGTGAAGTATGATGTGGCGAAGTCGAATTCTTGGCCATATATGGCGCCACTGAAAAACAAGAATCGCACACTCTACCTTAAATTTGCTCGGTTTCACCAAGCAGGCTTGCTCGTGTGACAAGTGGCATTAGAACCAACCAACCAGAATTGAAGGTTTATATTGTTATAACAAATTTGGTGCGTTCACAACCGTCAGTAAAAATTTTCCCTAACCACAGCTGTATGAAGCAGACCGTTAAATTATGTAACAAATCTCTGTAATGGTAATTTATGATAGCATATAATATAACCGTCGTTGAACAGCCGACCCAATTTCGGGTTTACGACTACTAATGTTCATCTCCGTAGCCTTGTAGTTTTGAATCCAATCCAGAAGACAATGATCCACGAGACTCATGAATCAAGTATTGGGAGAAATTTGCCTTTGTGGAGGACTTTTTGGTGAAACTAAGTCGCATTTGCTTTGCATGGAGATAAAAATCACGATAGCCTTCCACGGTTAGCCTGACTGCTAGAGGACTCATTTTAACGCTTTCAGCACACTATTTTGTATATATACATGCATAGTAACCTATAGGGCGGCATTGGGGAGCCCCTATTGTTCCTATAAATACTTCCTCTGGTAGGGTACTCTAGTACCCAGTAATATAATAACTGGTCCAATATGAATATTATGATTTAATATTAATGAAAAATATAGGGCGATCTTGATCCGTCGACCACTGAGGATATTTTACATCAGCACTGTGGTCGGTGCGAGCTGGATGCGGAATTCGTATCAACCAGCCATCGCTGGGGTTCAAACCTGGTTCGCCTCATTGGAAAGCTAACGCTCTATCCCCTGAGCCACCTTGGCTATATATTATAGCATATTAATGTAGTTTACTCCAAAAAAAATTATAATTATGCTGTGGTTAATAAGTTGCGACACTGATTCAAATAAGTTAATCTTAAAATGGGTATTAAGAATAATAAAATCATAGAATTACGTTAATATTAGGATACAACGTTTTTAGTTTTAAACCCTTAATTTAGAAAACCAAAAATCAAAAACGTAATATCAGAAATGTAAGATAAGAAATAAATATTACAGGTAAATATCTTTAAAATTCAAAAGTGTTTCACAAGAAAACAATACCTTTCTGGCATTTATTAATTTTACGCTGGTGACAACCAAAAAAATATGGAAGTTAATGTGGGAAAACAGGATCCCACCATGTGACATTTCCGGCAAGTAAAAATGTACAGACAATCATCCCCTCTCTTTCCCTTAAATGTGACATTATTTCTGGAAGAATCCAAATCAGAAGTCTTAAGCTTTTCTTTTTTTTTTTTTTTTCTTTTTTTTTAAATTTTTTTACTGACTGGATGTACATCAATATTAGTCAATATTAATGATTAGAACGATTATGCGCAGTTATAGTAATTTTTAGCTTGACAAAATACAAGTTTTAGTAAATTACGAAGATGAAATTATTAAAAAAAGAGTCACTCCGCCATGAGTTTCTAGATTCTCAAATTGGTTCATGTTAGAAATTTACATAGAAGAATACATTTTAAATGTCTCTCCAGTTGCCTGAATATTTACAAGCATTTTGATAATAAATGCCAGCAATAGAAAGTGTTCTCTGTGCGGAACAAATTATTCTAGTTCTAATCTCATTTATTGCTGTTTTATGATATTATTAATTTAAAGTTCTGCTATCATCAAAAATTCGGACAATAGATTGGCATCTATCCAAGTGCGTTAAAATGCTCGTCTGACAAAAAATAAATAAAAGCTATAATTAGGGTGAAAGAATCATTCTGATAAACAAACAATGTTGTATTTACACTGTTTAATGTTTTGTCTGTAATTTCTACTTATTATTCGTTTCTTTATAAATTAACCTATTACTGCTTAAAACTCAATTTTTTTTTTAATAATATCTTCTATTTTAAACTTAAATGCAATTAAATCAACTGAAAAATTACAAAAAAAATTTCTCCCTCAAAACTACTTAATATACTTAAAAAATCTAAATAAATTTCTAAAATTCTGAAAGCAGTGCAACGGAACACCGAAATTGGTGAGTTCTGCGAGCGGAGCAAATAGAGGGCGCTTGAATTATTTTAACTTTTAAAATGTAATCAACCGTTCGAATGAGGACTTTTCGAACGATCCAGTTCAAAGATGATCAGCGTGAGATCGTGTTTCTTTATTTAATGAAATTAATTTTTTCAATGTTTCAAATGTTTCTGTTCGAAAATAATACTACAACGAAACATTAAGAACTTAATAAATTAAATTCTACTCATCATGTTCAGAACTAAAATCGATCTGCCTGAATTGCATGCACCAAGCAGATTCTTAACTTGCCAGTACATATTTCTTATAAATTTTTATTTTAATGAAAAAATTACAGTAAAAAACTACTAAAGTGTAAAAGAGTATTAAAAAAATTTTTACATTAAAAATAAAATTTTGGTATAAAAACATTTTATTTAACACTGAATCATTTTTTTCGTACATTTACACTAAAACTTTCAAAGTTTAAACATTTTAGTGGAAATTTTAACTTTTTTCTTCATGTAAACAAGCGATTTAGTGATTAATACCAGTTGGTGACAAATTTTACTCATCATTTTCAGAACTAAAATCGATCTGTCTGCATTGCACCAAGCAGATTCTTAACTTGCCAATACATATTTCTTATAAATTTTTATTTTAATGAAAAAATTACAGTAAAAAACTACAAAAGAGTGCTAAAAGAAATTTTTCATTAAAAATAAAATTTTGGTATAAAAACATCTTATTTAACGGTAAATCATTTTTTTTTTTCGTGTATTTACACTAAAACTTTTAAAGTTTAAACATTTTAGTGGAAATATTAACTTTTTTTCATGTAAACAAACGATTTAGTGATTAATACCAATTGGTGACATTCTTTATCCGTATTTAGTTTTAACAACTAAACTGATGTTAGATATTCATTCGATTCAACCGTATCTTTCAAAACGTGTAAAAGTACAAGAACGAGCCATTATTCGTACTAGAGGAACTAAAGGTGTTTAATTTTTCTAAAATCCGTTACGTGGCCGTGAGAAATGTACTATGCACCAACTTCGATAGTTATTAATTGTTGATGCCTTCTCTAGTAATTAATTGCTGATGCGGAGCTACTTTTCCACTTGTAATTTATGCAGTCATCTTCTAAAACTTCTGCAAAAGCAAAAGAAAAATTGGATAACATGAAGGCTAGCATGAAAGGGTTATATGAAGCGATGACAAGATTGAGGAGCTATTTTCTCCTGGATGTTATACGTTCTTGATACGTTCTTGAAATAAAAAAGGTGTTTAAAAATCAAATTAATTTTCAAAAATAAATTTATGAATTCCTTTTTACTAATCAATCTCAATTGTCAAAATATTTCAGTGTTACATTATTCGAAAAAATGGTCCTATAAAATGTTAAAGCAATGCTGGGTCAAAATTGCCATTTTAATTTATTTTTAAATATTTGTAATCTGGAAAAAAATGGAAGAAAAAGTCATAAATTTTAACCTAACGAATGTTTAAAAAAATAATTTTAAAAAAATTAAAGAAAATTGCTGAATCTAAACTAAAAAAATAAAATCTAGCTGACCTTGAATATATTCTGGAATTCGGCCATTGCTAATGAAGTTGCTTAGTGACGAGTAATGGTTATAGTTAAAGAACATATCAGCCAAAGAAAAGGAAACAGATCGTCGGGCAATATGCCATATCCCTCTAAAAATTTGTCTTCTTCTCTCGCTTAACATTGAAAAGCTCTTTTTTATGACAGCCAATTTGTTATTTAAAGCATATGGAAGATTTCTTTTTTTTCCTAAATAAATTTTTAATATAGAGATTCTTCGAAAATAAATTTTGACATATTAACTGTCCCAGCCACAAATAGTGATCTTTATATGAAAATGGTGGCGGTTCTTAAGTTTGTTTATATTTATTTAATATTTTTTCCTGTTAAATATCACTTAGGCTTTAAAAAAAACCACTCTATTTTTACTTTGGATTTATATATATTATTATTACTTTATAAAAGACAAAACCGTCTTTTATTTACTTTATTTATTTATATTTTTATTTATTTATTTAACCTTTTTTTTTAAATTAAATTTTTTTGACAAGTGGCTATTTGGTTCAAGTAAAATATTTTATCAAGAATTAATTATGATTTATAAATAAACTGAATTATGATGATTTAAATCTT